AATGTTTTCTAGGCCTATGTGACCTGCAAACATGAAGATGACAAGCTAATTGCCTTTGAGAGAGCAAATCTTGTGTTTATCTTCAATTTCCATCCTAATAAAAGTTATGCAGACTATAGAATTGGCGTGACCAACCCAGGAAAGTATCCTTTGATATGATGCAATCTCTTTGCTCCTTAATAATGACCTTTTCCTCTATTTTTGCTGATTCTTCTCTTGCTCATCATCACCATCATTTGGTGGAAGTGGTTAGGTGGAGCATGCAGGAAGAAAATAAGTTTCTCGAGCTGGGTTATCATCAGAATCCCCTATAATCCCGTTAGCAACGTTCAGTAGCCTATCCTACAGCATTGCAATTTCTTCCTCCCTGGGTGCAGCAAGAACAGTTTTTTTTTTAAACCTTGAGGCCCATTTCGCTTGTGCCCTTGCGCAGAGAACTTTATCTATATGTACATTTGTCTCTCCGCCCAGGAGTGAAAATAGGTTTCTGGTAGGATTTCACTAAATGTTAATGGTTGTGTGTATTAGTTTTGCTGTACAAAGCAGAGAGGATCCAGTGGCATAATAAGTTTCAGTTCCTTTTACCTTGTGCTGTCTAATGATCCTTTAAAAAATCAAATCAATTACTGTAATTATATAATTACCATTGATCATTGTTTGACACCTTTACAGTGTACTGCCAGATACAAGATAGTTCTTGATTCAGATTCTAGTGAATTTGGTGGCCATAGCCGTCTTGATCATTCTACAGAATTCTTCACACAAAATTTTCAATGGCACGAACGCATGTTTTCCATACAGGTAAGCATTGTTTAAATCTACTTAAATAATGCCTATACTGTATTATTATTATTAAGTCAGAGTGGAGCTGTAGCTTAGTGGTTAAGATCTTGCTTTCCAATCCCATGGTTCAAACATTGTCACTGCAGGATTTTTTTCTCATGACCATAAATAACTCCCTTAGCCTCATTAGACAATTAGTTCATAAAGCATTATTCCATCCTGTAAGTGGCGAGTGTATGTGCTTTTCAATGTGAAGGGAAAATAAAAGATACAAAAATAAAAAGTATATAGTGTCTGTGAATAACATTAAACATTTGTATTGCTTACTCTTATGTTGTTTCAGAGCAATTCTATTAAATTATTTACTACATAATTTTTTCTCTCTCTGTCTAGATATACATTCCATGTCGTGTAGCCTTGGTCCTAGCAGCAGAGGAACAGTGAACTCAAGTTATCAATGATCTTCCAAGAAAAGAATTATCTTGCACATCCTACACTGGAAAAATCGCTTATATAAAAATCATATAGCTGTATACTCTATATAGATTTTGGATTGTTGATGGTATACTGTAATTGATTTATGGAGTTTAGTTTAAATTGTTTTCATAAAAGGTAAAAGCTTGGTTGAGATTTACATTATCATATAGACTGACTGTATTGATGATCATCTCCACATGTACATCTCCACTTTGAGACTTTGACAGTTGATTCCATGGAGTGGTGGCTCTGCCAACAGGGGTCTAAGAAGTCCAACAGGGGGTCCGAACCAAGGGGATGCCCAAAGGGTTCTGGTGGGATCAAGGAAGAGAGAGTTCATGGTTTAGGATGGTAAAAATGTGCTTTAATACCAAACATAAGGAACTACAAAAATTAAAAGTTTGATAGGAGTGATACAAGTATGCTGTGGTGTGTTTCAGTTAAAACCATTATCATGCCAACCACTCCGATTCCACGCCAACACATTTATCAGACATTCCGACCACTTTGAAA